CATTGGTATATTTTTGAATGCTCAGCCACTTGGAGCTTTGCTCAATAATATGGGGGATATGTCATTTTGGAACTCCACCTGCTGATACATTAGGTTCACATGTCCCGTACACTGGCGTTTCTTGGCATGGTCAAGCTAAATCTGCCTGCAGTCGGCATGCCCAAAGAACTGCTGCTGGGTTTTTTTTTAAAACACACTGCAGTACAACAGAGCAAAACACATCGCCTTTCGCAGCAAACCAGTTTTTAAAGTGGCTTTGAAAGTTCTTCTGCTCTCAGCTGCCAGAACACTAGCCTCTGCGCTCTCAGGGGCTGATTTTGATTGTCCATAAGGACTTGCTGAGTTGACCAAGATTGCAGCAAAATAACACCCTGGATCTTAAAATGAACTAACGAAAACCAAAGGCAGGGTTGGCAGTAGGAAGCAAACTCAGACCTTTTGAAGGATCTGGAAGCTTTGAGGCTTTCAGCATGTTGACTGGAGTCTAGAAGGAACCTTGCTGCCACTCCACAACACAATCAGTCCCTCTGGGACCTGGGCAATGGCCTGTATCAAGCACAGTATCCAAAATTGTCAAAGTAGGATGCCTAAGAGTAGGCACCTAAATCCATATTTAGGCATCTACTATTCTTCATTTGCGGCAGCATCTGGGAGCCTCAGTCATAGGACCCTGTTATGCTAGGCACTGTACAAACACAGGACAAAACGATGGGCCCTGCCCTGAAGAGTTTACCTGCTATGTAACTGTGGGGGCGGGAGAGCTAAATAAGTGGGGTGCTTCACAGAGGTGCTGAGGCCCGGCAGCTCTCATGGGAGTTGTAGGGACTCAGCACTTCTGAACTTTCGGCCGCTTGTTTAGGCACCCGAATATGGATTTATTGCCTGGTGTTAGGCGTGCAAGTTTGAACATTTCCCCCCACGTTTCTATGTGGCGAGATGGGCCTAAGCTAGACGGGTGGCTGCCGAGCCCCTTGATCTGCAGGGGATTTTGGTTCTGTGGCTGGGCTTTGAGTCTCCGACTATTTCCCATGGAAGTCTGGCATTGAATCTCAACCACGAAGCCATTACCTTTGCAGCTCTAAACATCATGGCTTGAGCAATGTCCATGACTGGCCAAGCAGGAGGGTGGCACAAATTGCTCTCCCTCCTTATAAGGAAAGCCAGAACTTTGTGGCATGGAAGCATCTCTGATTTTCAATGTGTCGCTCTCTAAACAGATCTGGAGCGGGACAGGGGCTGGATGGCTTTCCCTTTCCCCCGGGATTTATTTTTCATTCTTTGTCTCCACCCCGTTTTGCATCTCTGCTCCCCTCCCCTCCCCTAATTTCTGTAACTCTGTATTTCCAGTGGTTGCGAGGTTTACAGATTCTATCAGATGCTTCTATTGTGTTCTGGTTTTTAATCTTCCTTCATTTTACTGAGTGCCAAACCCTGCTCACACACTCAATGGAAGCATGTATCTGAGGACAGAATTTGGCTCATGCTGTTCTGTAGGGGCAAACTGGCCAGCACCAGTAAGTATCTCGGCTGTCTTCCTCTTGTCCTCAGCGTTATGAATGATCCAGAACCTTTCAAACAGAATCTCCACTGGTGCTCAGCGCTCGCAGCTCCCATTGACGTAATCAGGCGTGCTGCGGGCTCTGGGGCTCTCCACACATTCATTCATGTTCATTCCGTGTATGTACTTATCTCATTCTGTTAGTTTAGTCTTCGGCCTCTCTCTGGTTTGTTTCGTTCTAGTCTGATTCCGAGCACAGAACTAATGTAACCTTCAAACTGATCTTCTGCTCAATATTTATGGCTGGATTTTCAAAAGCACTTGGTGCCGGCTCAGCTCTGCCACCAGGGGGAGTTTGACCATTGACTATGATGGGAGCAGAGATAGCTCCGCACTGAACACCTTTTTTCCTAAGTCCCGCCCTCAAACTCTTGACAAGTCGCCCATCTTATCCATGTAAATCTTCCCTGACCCAATTCCTCCCTCTTCTTGTTGGTGCTTAGATGGAGAACCTGATGTCCCGGAGGGTGGGGGTGAGAATGGGGGAATCACTTAAAAACCAATTCTTTTAAAGGGATTCACAGATTTTCTCCTGTCCAAAAGTGATTCCAAGACGGTCGGTGGCTACTGAGGAGTGCGATTAGACAAAGTCCCACAGAACAAAATGTGGAGGGTCTATCACGATGTTAAATGGATGGCTCAGAAGCTAAAATGTCAAGTATTTTGGATGGATCCCTGAAGGATTGGTACTTCTTAGGATTGTTATATGCAGAAGGGGACAGCCAGAGAGAGGCGGAAGAAATGGCTGATGTAGAGGTGGAATTCAAGAAGCCCTCAGTATGCAGAATGGCCACTTGCCCATGTGGCTCCTTCTGTGTCAGTCTATTTCTCCTTCTTGTACTGCTTTGCCTATGTGGCCCCAATCCAGAAAAACACTTAGGCCTGGGCTAAACTTGAAGTGCAGCTGGTCAGACATTTTCAAAGGTTTTGTTTTGTGTTAGTGTGTGTATGTTTTGCAAAATGTGACTTAGTTCAGATCAAACTTTTCTGCAGGAAAACATGAATGTTTTTCAATTAAACTTTTTGAGGTTTCCGAGACAGCATTTCAAAATGAATGGCAGTGTTTCCTTTCACAATGCCCATTTAAAATTAAATATTCTGAATTGATAATTTGTATCAGTTGAAAATGCTGAAATGTTGCATTTTGAGGCTTCCAAACTGAAAATTTTTTGGAACTTTTCATTCTGTGAAAATGTGATCCCGGGATGCATAAACAGGGGAAACTCGAGTAGGAGTTGAGAGGTTAATTCACTTCTGTATTCAGTGCTGGTGCTGGAATATTGTATTCAGTGCTGGTGCTGGAATATTGTGTCCAGTTCTGGTGCCCACAATTCAAGAAGGAAGTTGATAAATTGGAGAGGGTTCAGAGAAGAGCCACAAACATGTTTAAAGGATTAGAAAACATGCCCTATTGTGATTAAGTTATTTGAGTCTATCAAAGAGAAGGTTAAGAGATTATTTGATTACAGTCTATAAGTATCTATATGGGAACAAATATTTAATAATGGGCTCTTCAGCCTAACAGAAAAAGGACTAACACCATGTTGCACTCGGAGCTCATGTTCAGCTGATTATCCACCATGACCCCCAAATCTTTTTCATTGTCACTGCTTCCCAGGAGAGAGTCCCCTGTCCTGTAAGGATGGCCTACATTCGTTGTTCCTAGCTAGAGACATGTCCATTTAGCCATATTAAAATGCATACTGTTTGCTTGTGCCCAGTTTACCAAGCAATCAAGATCACTTTTCATTATTTACCACTCCCACAAGTTTTATATCCTCTGCAAAGTTCATCAGTGATGATTTTATGCTTAATTCCAGCTCAGTGATAAAAATGTTAAGTAGCGTAGGGCCAAAAACGGATCGCTGCGGGACCCCACTGGAAACAGGCCCACTTGATGATGATTCACCATTTACAATTTCATTTTGAGACTTATCAGTTAGCCAGTCTTGAATCCATTGAATGTGTGCCATGTTAATTTTACATTGTATTTACACCATATTTAAGCAGCAGATGCTGAGAGAAATGTTATATTTTATTATAGGAGTTCAGGAGAACCTCACAGATACAAAATATCAACGCCCTGTGGAGGTCCCTAGTTCTGTGCTGGGTCTCGGTTATTTGGTTCATATGCAATGGAAATCACGACACAGTGCAATTCCACACTGAGTAACTTGCTGCTTTGATGAGAGCCCAAAGGGGGGATGTCCATTGCAGAGATCTCTGCTACAACCCATCCTTACCCTCTGCGAGGGATCTCACTGGAGCAGTCGGGCTCTGCCGGACATCAGAAGCAACAGCAATGATCTTTGCCATCACCACTTGATGCGGCAGGTGGGGACCTTTTGGTGCCTGTTGAGCCTTGATTTCTGAGTGACGCTTCTCCCAAGTGCCAGAGCTACGTGAGGCCTCGCCCCTCTGTTGGGCTGCTGGGGCGTCTTTAGATTCCCCCTGGTGCCCCATGCGTAGGAACAATCTCCGTCCTAGCATGGAGCCTCTGATGCCTCATCAGAGTCATCTCCTGACTGAAGCTCTTCCCTCACTCTGTACCCTCAGCCCTCCCACACTGAAGACAGGCAAAGGGCCTCTCCTGGCCATGGCTGTGCTGGGGTGACGGTGTTCATTTTCTGGATGAAGCTCTTCTCTCACACACTGCACCAATCGGGTGTCTCGCTCAATCCGCTGGCGTATCATGAGCTGCGGCCTCTCAATGAAGCCTTCGCTGCAGGCGCTGCCTTCATGGGGCCTGTCCTGCCTGTGGGTCAGCGTGTGCCTGGTGAGGTGAACTTCTCCACACGCTGGTGCACGGGTACTCCCTCTTCCCCACCTGGGCTTTCTTCCCGGTCAAATGACTTCCTCTGAGAGCCAGCCCTTCCCCGTTCTTGGCCAGTGATTTTCCCAGTGTACTGCTTATTGGCTAAGCTACCCCTTGACCTGAGTGACCTCCGCAGTCCCTGCTCTCATGTGGCCTCCTTGCTGGGCAAGCTGTCTGGTGGGCCGCGAGATTTTCAGCAGTCTGGAGCCGTTCCTCGCGCTCAGTGTGTACGTAGGAGCCTCCTGCTGGGTGGATTCCTGCTATGATGGGACTGAAGTTGTTCTCAGTGCTGTGGTCCTCACCTGCATCGAGCTGAGCCCTATGGGGCACTGTACTCCTCACCACACTGAGGCTTATTTGCTGTCCATCATGTGCATCCCGCTCCTCTTTTATGTGGATTCTCGTCGGTGACATAGAAGCCGGCTGGGGACCGATGCTGTTGATATACCCAGAAATGTGTTGGTGTGGCCTCTCTCCCACGGCAGCCTCGGGTGCACCTTGAGGGTCTTCTTAAGTGTGAAGCTTTCGCTTTACCTGGGGCACATGTAGGGCTATTCGTCCTGGTGTATCCTCTGGGGCATGGCCAGGGAGACCTTAACAAACCACTTCCCACACTGGCTGCTGCACTTATGGGGGAGTTTCCTGCAGGTCGACCAGCCGGTATGTCTTAGAGGTCTTTTTGTGCACAAAGCGCTCCCTGCAGGCATAGGGCCTCTGGCCTGTGTGGCTCCTCTGGTGCATCGTGAAGTTCTCCTTCCAGGTAAAGCTCTTCCTGCACTGGGCACAGACTAACAGCTGCTTGCCCGGGTACCTCCTCCTGTGTGTGGCCACGGTTCTGTCGGTGATGAAGCTCTTCCTGCAGTTGGTGCAGATGTAGGGTCCCGCCCGGGAGTGGATCTTCTGGTGGTGATGACAGTGATCTTCTGGCTGAAGTGCCTCCTCACTGCAAACACGTGTAAGGCTTCTTGCCCATCTGGGTCCTCGGCTGGCCAGTGAGGGTTATCTTCTTGATGAAACCTTTCCTGCAGTCACTACACATGAACGACCTCTCTCCCATGTGGATTTCCAGGGGAGTCTTCCTGAACCTTTTCCCGCACTCAGGACATTTGTACAGTCTCTGTGAGGTGGGTTCTAGAAAGCTCTCCATGGTAACGACTCTTCTCACATCAGGCCCACGCTTATTCCAATCCTTGCTGCTGAGTTTGGCATCACTCCTATCATTTCCTATCACTCCTTCCCCAGCCTGGTGTGTTTCCTTCCTTTGCGGTTTTCCCTGAGCCAAGGGGAGTTGCAGTTGGTTTGTTAAACCAAACCCTTGGAAGCATTGTCTTTGCTCTCTTTAATTTATGGCCTGGTCCTTCCTTGGGCAGTTCCTGTTTTGTTCCTCTGTGTTCATGCCACACAGTCACATACTGCATAGAAAAGGAAATCCTGGCGTTAGTTCAAAGGCTGGTGCCTGGCATGATCGCTACACAGGGATATTCAGAAGCACTGAGCATTGGCCTTACTCTGCGCTCCTTGCAGTCGTTGGGAGAACTCCCGCTGACTCCCCTGGGAGCAGAGTGAGGCCAGCGCTGAAGGCTGTTGAAAATCCCACCCTAAATCCTAGCCCATCAGATTTTAGTATGGGAGGTTCTGACGCTTTTCAGGGCGCCGAGGGTTTGTGTGTCACCTTGTTGCCATCTGCCTGCAGCGTGAGGGAGTCTTGCCTGTGCCAGCTGGGTGTTCGTTCCTGTGATAAATGAAGTGTGTGTGTGGAGGTGGCTCCCTTTTATGAACACCCGGCCAGCCAGTTAGCTATAAAACCCCTGTTAGTAGCTGTTCTCTACTTGCTTTACCTGTAAAGGATTAACAAGCCCACAGGTAAAAGGAAGGGAGTGGGCACTTGATCAAAAGAGCCAATGGGAGGGCTAGAACTTTTTTAAATTGGGAAAAAACTCTCCTTTGTCTGTTTGTTGTGTTTCTCTGGGAAAGAGGTTGAACAGGGAGCAGTTATGCTATGAGAAGCTGAAAGCCAGGTATGAAAACCCATCAGATCATACCTAAAGATTGCTTATCTAAAACCCCAAAAATGTAAGTAAATTAGGGAATGTCTAGGAAGATGCAATTAGGGTTATTTATTTTATTTTTTATTGGCTTGTGGACTCCTCTGTGCTAACCCCAAATGCTTTTGTTTTGCTTGTAACCTTTAAGCTGGACCTCAAGAAGGTTATTCTTGATGTTGAAATTTTGTAAGTGGGTTTTTTTAAGTCTAGCAAAAGCCTAAGTTCCAGATGTATTTTCTTTCTTTTTGTTTTTAATAAAATTTTACCTTTTTCAAGAACAGGATTGGATTTTTGGTGTCCTAAGAGGTTTGCGCATGTTGTTTAATTGGCTGGTGGCAACAGCTGATTTCCTTTATTTTTCTTTCTCAGCTCTTCCCCGGGAGGGTGTGAAAGGGCTTGAGAGTACCCCACAGGAAGGAATTTCCAAGTGCGCCTTTCTGGTTTCAAAGGTGGTTTGTTTGTTTGTTGTATTTGGGTAGTGGCAGCATCTACCCATCCAAGGTCAGAGAGAAACTGTAACCTTGGGAGTTTAATACGAGCCTAGAGTGGCCAGTATTACTTTTTAAAAATCCTTGTGGGCCTCCACCTTCTGCACTCAAAATGCCAGAGTGGGGAATCAGCCTTGACAGCTCCCTAAAACAACCGGGCTATCAGACACTCTTCTCCAGCATTTGCTTTACACCCCCATCCCTCAATCCCTTCAAAGTGTCCCCCTATGGTGTCCAGCCACTGGATACCCATAGAAATCTCAGATCCTCTATTCCCAGAGTGTACCTCAGTTTACCAGTTTTACCCTAGACCACCACACCGGCATCACACACAGCCCTTGAGTTATAGTAAAACATAAGGAAATTTACTGAAGAAAGAACAGAGATTCAAACAGAAATAAGTAATGGAAACAAATGGTTACATAAGAAACAAAACAATCAAACACGAACTAGGGTCTGCGCTTGTGACTAATCACCTTTTCTGTCTAATAAAGTAGATTCCCACCACAAAGCCTCTTGCAGCATTAGCTGCCTCCCAAGGAGCTAGGGCCCAGTCTTGCATGACACACCACCGCACATCAAGGTACCTCCTCAGTGAATAGGTCCAGAGGGTCTTCCTCCTCCCTGTGATATACTGAATCAGCCTCTTGTCTTTATTCACCAGAGATCCCCTCATTGCCCTGTCCTTCCATTTCACTGCCAAGTGCTTTCCATGTTTAGAGTTTGTTTTTGACAGTTTTCTGCTGGCTCTTTTGGGTTGGTGCAATGGTGGACAATGGAACAATACCTGACATAACTGGCTAGCCAGGGAAAGGTGACAGCTCCCTCCAGCTTGCATGGGCCATCACCAAGACCTAAAATTCCCTGGTGACTCACTTTCACGCCAAGACCATGCGGCATCATTTTCAATGTAGCTACATTATTCCTTAAATATTACCCCTCCACACATCTCGCAATGATTATGAGCATCAATAAGTTACAAGCTTTCTGTAGAGACCTCACATGCTATCTTTTATGGATAAATACTGTGAAAATGGAGTATTAGGTGTAGTGAGTTGGTCAGGTCTGGGGCAGGAGCTGCTTATAAAAGACAGTGAAACCTGTGGCAGTTGGCACCCGTGGGCCTCTGTGTCTGTGTCAGTCTGGGTTGACAAGGATTAAACACAGTCAACATCTGATGTCTATTCTGAAGCCTGATCAGGGCCTGGGTGATCTGAATCAAGTTCTCAGTGGGCAGGAATCCATCTCTCTCTCTCTCTCCCCCTCCCTCTTTTCTCTCCGCCCCCCCCCCCCCCGGGTTATCGATCAGCTACTTTCCCACCATACTCAAAACACAAATTACAAATGTAAGAAGGGAAAAATACTTTTGAGATATTTACAAATGAAAGTCTGTGTGGGGGAGAGTGAGACCCTCTCTAAATGTAATGTCTGGCCAGGTACGTAATACACCGTTCGGGCAACGGGAGTGCTGGTGCCATTGCACCAACTAGAAGGACATTGGAGTGTTCGGGGTGATGGTGTGTGAACAGCAGAGTGGGGAACTTTACACTCTGGAAGCAGTGGTCGTGGGTCATGCCATTAATTTATTCCTCCCCTTGAGTGCTGGGTTCTATATTTAGTCTGGGATTTTCCAAGAAAATCAGTCCTCATCCTCTTAGAAAAATGCAGGCATCTAAATACCTTCACCAAAAAATAAATATGAAAAAAGTAAAGTTAAGGAAAGGACAAAAGCTGGGTGCAGATAAATACCTGGGGGGTGAATTATGCAACCATCACACCTTCAGATGCTCTGTATAAATACTGCTCAAGGCAGAGCGTGTTTGTCTGGCTGATGGCTAGAGGAAGGAACTAAGAGAGATGAACCAAGACTGCAGTTCCAATTCTACCACGCTGACTAGTTGTTTGAGTATAGATGTGTTTCATCCCCTCTCTCTATGGCTCAATTTATTATCCATATGGAAAATGGGCCTAATAATTCCCTGCCCGTTAGAGCTTAATGCATTCATGTTAAAGGCCCTGCCTCCAAAGTTCTAAAGTCGGATTGCACGTGGACTTCATTCCGGCAGTGAGTTGCAATACGTTTTACTCCAATGCTTTAACCAACTGGAAAATAAGATGAAATTTTTTCTCAGGGCGGGTAATTAACCATTGGACCAGGGGCTGCAGTAATGTCACTCTCACTTGGAGTCTATAAATCAAGATTAGATGGATGTCTTTCTAAAAGATACACTCTAGTTCAATCACGAGTTGGGCTAGATGCAGGGACCACAGGGTGACATTCTATGGCATGTTGTGATGGGGCATGCGCCCCACACCGACCCTGGAGGGGTTAATATAGGCAAGAGAGGCCAATTAGCCATAGGCTGCACCCAGTGGGGAGCTGGAACATAATGAGGCTTAATTGGGGATGAAGCTCACCTGGGCAGAATCAGGCAGGGCATCTATAAATAGAGATCTGTAAATCCAAGCTCTGCAAATCTGTCTATCCATGTACCATTTTGGCGGATAAGAACCAGGCAGGCAGCTGTGAGGAACCATGGTGCAGACCCTCCACCTGTCCTGGGTGGGAGGTCTGGGGGGCAGGGACAAGGGCTGGGGTGTGCTTGGGACTCCTGCCCAGGGCAGGTGGAGGGTCCGCTGTGGTTCCCCAGAGCTACCAACCCGGCTCTTACCGTGGCCGGGCTGCAGCTCTCAGCTGCTGTCCTCTCCCCACCGCCCCCGGCCGGAGCTGGAGAGCCACGCTGGCAGCTGTGGAGAGCCTAGGCCCCTCCACCTGCCCTGGGTGGAGGGTCCGAGCAGACCCCCGGAAAGCTCAACAGGTCACACCCCCGCCCTGGCTAGGCCAGCATGGAGCCGAGCCGTGGGGAGCCGCAGCGGACCCTCCATCTGCCCGCGGTGCAGGAGAGGGCTGAGGGCAGCCCCTGGCCATGTCCCCGTCCCCCAGGCTCCCTGCCTGGCTGAGGGCGGGTGGAGGGGCCACAACTCTGCGCGGGGTCCCCACAGCTCTCCCTGATCGGGCTCCGGTGCAGGACGCCTCAGAGCCTCAGCCTGGCCATGGTAAGTAGATATCCGCGGACAATTTATGCAAATACACGTTTTTATATCCGCGCAGGGCTCTATCTGTACAGCCGGGGCGTTGGCAGCAGAGAAGGCCTGTAGTTGCACTCCCTGATACTCTGGGGGAAAGTAGGAGCCTGGAATAGGCAGTGTAGGAAGCCGTCCAGGGAAGGAGCAGTGTGGGCTGAGGGAATAAAACCCTGAACTGCTAGGTCGAGGGTTCCTGGATTGGAACCCAGTGCAGAGGGCGGGCCCGGGTTCCCCTTCCAGCCACTGCAGGAGTGGCACACTGGGGGCAGCCTATTTGGGGACTGCCGGGGACAGTTTGGAAGGAGACTTTGATAACACCCCAGAAGGGGGGGAACTTCAGTGTTACTTGGCAGAAGGGCTAAGCCGTGAAAGGGAAAACGCCGCAGCTCCGTGAGCGAGAGAGAGGCCCGGAGCGAGCGAGTGGGACGATGGGCTGAGGATCACCAGGACGGGACATCAGACCCTGTGGTAGCTAATCCCCAGATGGGTCACTAGGAGGCGCCAGAATGGTAAGCGAGCACTCCCGTCACACATGTATTATGCAGGAAGGCAGAATAGATCATCAGCATGGCTTTGTAATTTATGAACCAATAAAGGAGACATAAAGATGAGCTGAAAACTAGTGGCACGGCACATCCAAAGTACAGCTTTAGAGTTGGATATGCTTGGAGCTACACTTACATCTGGTCACCCAGGTTCTTCTGGGAACCTGACATGCAGGAGCATGCTGAAATCTGAAAGACTCAACTGTATAATATCCACCCAGGTAACAGAAACTATTGAACCGTTTGCTACAACCAGGATTAAGAGCCTGGACTGTGCATACATGTCCAGTGACACATTGACGGGAGTATCTAACTGTCCAACACAGCTGTAGTTTTAAGGCATAGAAGCAGCTTGTGTTAGTACAAGCCAGTTCTGCAAGGGTTCATTTGGAATAAACTGTCTTCGGTGTTGTTTGTGTCCTCTCCCGTTTGCAAAGCAGCAAAATGAACTTGCCGCGTCAGCTCAGCTCAGCACAATTTTTAGTTGACAAATCCTCCCAAAGCTGAGCACAGATCATTAAAGTATTTCTAGAGATGCTCTTCCTAGCCTAACCACATGCCCTGGTAACTTTCTTATGGCGATGTCAACGTGAAAGAAAATCCCAGTAGATGTGGAACGAGATCATTCCTTAACTTAAAACACAGAAGTTATTTTCCTGACAGAGGATGCTTTCTGTGTTCACCCTCCCGTGTCTGTTAGCCAGAAGCTGCAAACACACAGGAAGCTGAATGGAAAATGTCTTACCCAAGCAAATACCACTGCAAGCATATTTCTCTTCCCTTTAGTATTAACCAGAGGAAAGCTTGGCTACTCAGCTGACACTTGACAGATAATGAAATCCAGATCTCTGGGTCTTACTATTCTTCTTCCATCCCCTTGTCTCCTATGGCCTGCTCTGTGGACCCAGGGAAAGGCTGCTTCAGTGGTGTAGTAGACACTATAGGGGGAGGGAGCGAAATAGAGGCAGAGAGACAAAAGCTGGCTGGGAAGAGGGAGGGGAGATGGGGAGTAAGAAATTGCTTTGTGCAATGCCCTGCTGGGAGATGTAGTCTTTCCGTCAAAAGATTGCATGGCCTGAGATTACTGCTGTTCAGAAACAAACCAATAAACGCCGTCTAGCCGGCTGCATGCGGGGAGATCAGTGTGCCCTTAGCCTTGTCCTTTGTTAATTTAATGGTTCCTACAAGTGGGAAAGGAGTTTTTTTTTCTTGTGATCCTGTTCAGTAAAATGTTCAATGGGACTAACGTGACCCTATGCAGACTAGTAAACCTGTGGCACCTTCCCTTCACCGGCAGTAAACTGGAGGAGACGATTTAGCAGCCGCAGCAACTGATACTGCGACTCTAGTGCCGAATTCTCCGCTCACCCAACTTTCGTGACCAGTGCTTAATTTGAAATGGGAGAGGTGCCGGGACTCAAGCAAACGTTTTGCTTTCATAACTGACATGCCAAGCCCAGAAGGGCCGGGGCTACGAACTGCCAAGCCCAGAGAGGCCGTGGCTCAGCCCTGGCACAACTTAAGCACTCGTGCGGACCTACTGACTTCACTGGAGCGACTCGTGAGCCACTGGTCATGGTAGGATCAATTCCAGCCTTCAGGAGTCGAGTTCCATGCAGTCCACTGGGCCTGGCTCTTTTGGATCAGACCTTATGGAACCATCAGTGCTCCATGTGGGCAGTAAGCATCCCAGGGCACTGTCTGTAAGAGCAGATGTTTGCCCTGGTGTCCTTGGCCTAAATTTCCCCTCCTTCCTTATGTGGCATCCTGTGTGTCAGAGCTTCCAGCAGCAAGGGGAGCGTATGTTAATGCTGCTTGGTGTCCAGAGCATTTGAAACCCGTAGGGTTTCCCCAGAGATGAAAGGTACTAGACAGCTCTCCTCCATCCAGCCCCCCCCCCTCCCCCAAATGCTGCTGCCCTGGTCGGCTTCCTTTCCAGATGCTTGTATCCTATCCCTTAGGCCCATTGGTATCATTGATTCAAGCAGCCAATTGAAACCGAGGGGCACTATGAATGTGCTGCGGGGCTGACAATTGGCAGCACAGTCATGAGGTAACGTGGCCAAACATGGGACTCTGAGAGGTTTATTTTTAAAAGTCAGCTGGCTTGATTCTTCTCCTCCTCCTTACCCCTGCCCCTCACTTCAGCAGCGTCAGCCCCCTCGCCCCCCTTTGACCCTGAGAGCAGCATCAGACAAATGGCCTCTTCTTGCTCGCTGCGCTGTGCATTTGCCTTTGTCTGGCTTCAGTGCTGGAGGGGAGGGGAGAGTGAGCTGGATTTGAGTAAACTGGCTTTATTGCGGAATGAAGGCTATTTTGCTAAAAAGTGATGTGACTTTTTGCATTTGTGTTCCCAGCAGTGTTGTGACTTTTCCCCTGACAAACCAGCCAAACCTCCCTGAGGGCCTGCAGCCCATAAAGCTCAAGGGCAGGAGGTCAGAATACAATGGGGCAAGCGGACAGTGCCAGCAGCAGCCACCGTGTGTGTCTCTGCTGGGAGAGGAGCTCTGAGGCTGCCCGGCTGCAGGACCCAGGAAGCAATCCCTGGAGAAGGCACAGAGTGGACAGGGAATGGGATCACCCACCCTGGCAGATCCTGGAGATGCCCAGTCCATGGAACTGCCAGGTAGGTCAGTGCTGGGTCCTGACTCCCTCGGACCTTACTCCCCTTGGCAGGGGGCCTGCTACCAGCAAGGGTGCTCTGTGGGCGTTTAATGCTGCCTGATGGGATATCCCCTTGGCCTAGCTGTCCAAGGGCACCAGATGAGTGCAATACCACAGTGAGCACTGGTCCTCGATTCTACACCCTCCCACGGGAGCTCAGTCTCCATGATATATCCACAGAGAGGCCTCCATGAGGTCTTGGGGAAGTACCAATAACAATACTTAGAGATCTAGTAGTGAAAAGTGCTATATAAGAGCAGAGCTAAGGGCTTTACACATTTATCCCCATTTTACAGAAGGGGAAAACTGAGGCACAGAGCAGTGACATGACTTGCCCAAGTTCTCCAAGCAGAGTAGTGGCAGAGTTGGGAATAGAACCTATATTGGCTGAGTCCTAGCCCAATGCTTTAGCCATTAGCTAGGCCACAGTAGCAGCGCTCCCGTAAGTCCCCCTTGTTCTCTGTCAAGTTTTGTCCTGTCCACTGGTTGCTGAGCCAGGCTGTGGAAATGTCAGCACAATCAAATGATGCATTTTCCAAGGTGCGTAATACTCTTTTATAGCACAGAATTCCCCCAGATCTATAGCTCTGCAATGGACAAGTCCTATATAACATAGGCTATCACAAAGCATTGCAGTATACATGAAGAACAATGCAGGGCAATGTATCATTGACATCAGAAATCCATTTCACTCAAATATTCATGACCCAGTGTGCTGTGGGTATGGGGCAGTCCAATTCTGCAATTAGGGACCAGTGATACAAAGGGGAATGGAGGCTTGATTTTTGTTTGTTTTTTTAAAATACTTACTTTATTGAGGAGACTGTATAACCTGTCAGTACTGGCTTCCCCCACGAGCTGAGGTCCGGCTGCCGCCCTCGGTCCATGGTGCAATGCCCAGTGATGCCTGGGAAAGCGCAGTAGATCGATTGAGGGCAGCTTATTGTTCTAGATATCTTCGTAAAGGAAGTATCAACACACAAAACAAAATCCTCAAACATAGCTGCTTCCTCTGGGGTAAATCTCTAGGCCACAAAACTAGTCTAAGGAAAAGAAAACGATTACATCCAAAGAATGGGGGGATAAATAATTCTTCTCTTGATTACACACTTGAGCCCTCAAGTGAGGAGCTCTGGTATATTCCCCACTGAGGGAGGCCTAGTATATTGTCCTAGATTCATTGCCTACGTTCCACCGTATTCTTCTAGTGCAACGCAATCTCCATGCCCTTGGAGGTTGATAGTCTACCTGGCATGGATCAAGTCCCAGGGGACTGGGCACTACCATCCAGGAGATGGACTGATTCAGCTTATCTCCTCAGCCAACTCCTCTAGTGTGGTTCCTATGGAGACCCCAGTCAGAGATTAAAATTGTCCTTTCCTCTCCAGCCACCTGCCTTGCTGCCCAAACATGAGTCCCACCCCTTCAGCTCAATGGCTCCTGCAACACCTATGCCATAGGGGTAAATGAAAACCCATTGGGTGCAACCTCTCTTGGGGGATGAGATGAGGGAGAAGCTTCCTTCTCATATACAAAATCAAGATGTAGAACTAATGCCTAATAACTGACCACTACTTGACTTGACTCTACTCCTCTAAGTATTCCAGCTACACAGTGATCCTTAGTGCACATCCCTCAGCTGCTGCGTTCACTTCAGTCACATTGGGTGGTTGGGCGCAGAGTCTGGCTGTGGTGGTCTCGGGCTCCCTCCAGAGCTCTGGTCTGCCAATGTTCTTCAAGCCCCAGTGGTGCCCCCTGCCAGCCAACCCACCACATTAAAGATCCCATAGTCTGAGGAATACACTCCATTATAACGAAGTAGTAGAGAGCAAGAAAGAGTGGTGAGCTTTGCCACTTGCCCCCAAGCCACTTCGCAGCTCTCACTCTTTAGGACCTATCTAAAGGATAAAGGGTTTCTGTTCTTCTAGTCCATAGAGGACCCAGTCCACAAGCGGTGCAGCCTATCCCAAGGATTTTGATTGCTTCTTTCTTTAATCCCTAAATAATGCCCAGGAAATCCTGTAGTGACCTCCAGAGTCATGTTCACGGGAAAAAATAGATAGCACGAAAGAGCACCTATCCTGGGCTGCTGAAGCTATTGATGCTTCTGGAGCATCTTTGTTTCCTCTAGTCACAGATACAGCAAGATGCTAGACCGAGACGACTGCTCTCGCTTATATCCAAGCAACAGCTTCGCCTGGATATGGCCGAGGGGACGTCTACACTGCAGCGAAGGTGTCATTCCAGCTCAGGGAGGTGTACATGGGCTAGCTCTCATTGAGCTAAAGCAATATTTTTAGGATGTGGCCGGCGGCATGGACTAACCACCAGAGCACAACGCTCTCCGAGATACACGTCGTTGTGGCTACACTGCTCTTTTTAGCATGCTAGCTCCACCCCGGTCTACAGCAAAAGATTAGGTTGATCCAGCTACATCATTCAGGGGTGTGAAAAACCCACCCCCCCGGAGCAACGTAGTTATGCTGCCCTAACCCCTGGTGTAGACAGCACTACCTCCCGTTGACCTAGCTACCACCTCTCGGGGAGATGGATCACTTATGCCGATGGGAGAACTGTAGCGTTTCAAGTGTAGACGAGCCTTTAGTCCAGGGGCAGGCAAACTTTTTGGCCTGAGGGCCGCATCGGGTTTCGGAAATTGTATGGAGGGCCGGTTAGGGAAGGGGGTCGTGGCCCAGCCCCCACCTCCTATCTGCCTCCCCCCCCGGACTCCTGCCCCATCCAACCCCCCCGTTCCCTGACGGTCCCCCTGGGACCCCTACTCCATCCACACCCCCGCCCCCCTGCTCCCTGTCCCCTGACCGCCCCCGGACTCCTGCCGCCCCATCCAACCCCTCCTCTCATTCCTTACTGCCCCCCCCGGGACCCCTGCCCTATCCAACCAGCCCTTCTCCCTTACCACCCCCAGAATCCCTGCCCCTGACTGCCCCCTGCCAACCCGCCCAACCCCTCCCCCTCCTTCCTGACTGCCTCCCCCGGGACCCCTGCCCCCACTCAACCCCCCACTTCTCCCTGTCCCCTGACTGCCCCCTGCCGCTCCATCCAACCCCCGCTCCTTCCTGACTGCCTCCCCCAGGACCCCTGCCCCCAATTAACCCCCCTGTTCCCCGCCCTCTGACCACCCCAACCCCTGCCCACACCCCCCTACCCCCCTGAACTCCCCTGCCCCCTTACCGCGCTGTCTGGAGCACCAGTGGCTGGCGGAGCCAGGCCACGCCGCCACCGCGCAGAACAGAGCACGGGGCAGGCCTGGCTTTGCAGCTATGCTTCCCCAGGAGCTCGCCCCGCCACCCAGAGCATTGCATCCCTGGCGAGGTGAGGCTGCGGGGGAGGGGGTCAGCAGGGGAGGGGCTGGGGACTAGCCTCCCCGGCCAGGAGCTCAGGGGCCAGGCAGGAGGGTCCCGCGGGCAGGAGGGTCCCGCGGGCCGGGTGTGGCCTGCGGGCCGTAGTTTGCCCACCTCTGCTTTAGTCTCTCATTACATTATGTGGCTGGTGTGTCATAAACTCCTGTGACTCTTTTTCTCCCCACCCCCCAGCTCACTGTGATCACCTGTCCCCGCTCAGGTAGTAACTTTCAGCCAGGCCTTGTCTTGGAACTAGGAAGGACCCGGTTGGTACTGGTACCTGCAGGGATTGCCCGGTAGTGTTTACTCTGGCATGAAGAGAACTGTGCGTTCCATGGAGTTGCTGGCTGCTCTCCTCGATGGCAGAGGACTCCTACTCTCTTAAGGCTCGTGTGTGTACGTCTACCCAAGCTGGAAAGCACACGTCCAGCTGCAGCGTAGCTGTACCGGGAGAGCAGCCTTTGCTCGCTGCCAGCCAAATTTCAAAAGCGGCCACTGAGTTCGAGTATCTCCATGTTAGGTGCCCGGCCTAAAACATCTTTCATTCTGCAGTCTAATCTTGGCCCCCCGCCCCAGTTTGAAAGCGCCGGCCTTTATGTCTGCTGCATTTCATCCCGAGTCTCAGTCCCAGAGCTGAGCCCTGCTATCGATGGGAGCGATGTTCATGTTAGAACTATGTGGGTGATGCCCATTTCTCAGAGCCGGGCTCAGCAGATACATTCCCCACTTCTTTTCCAGAAGCAAAATGCTACAATCGAAATCAGTGCTTTGCACCTGGATACATTCAGCCTGTTTAAGAGTTGGGGCTGATTGGGCTAAACTCCGCATTCTTCAGTGGAGCAAATCTCTGGTTAATAATAATAATAATAATTAATAATATCTCACTCTTTACCAAGGAAGTCAGTATCCTTAACACCATTTTACAGATGGGGAAACTGAGGCCTGGGGAGGGAAACTGAATTGCCAAAGGTCACCCAGAAAACCAGTGACAGAGCCAGGGACTGGACACAGGTCTCCTGAATCCCAGCCACCTTGCCTCCTTCTGTTTACAGAAGGAGTTTTGCTCCAGTAATGACTGCAGAATTTGGTCCAGGCTTATCACCTTCCTTTGTGGGCTTTGCTCTGTGGCTAGAGGTTGCCCTCACATGTTAAGCTCTCCTCACTCTTCACAGCCGGGAGTGCTTTTCGTTCTGGGTGCATCTGAGGGTGGTTGCTAACGCTCCCTGGTGCCCCCAGCTTTTCCCCCCGCTTTGCACGCCCGGTGGGTCCCTCCCTCATGTGGATTTTCTGGTGCCTTCTCAGATATTTCTTCAGCCTGTACCGTTTCCCACACACCGTGCATTTATAAGCCCCGCCCCTGGAGTGCAGCGTCTGGTGTCTAATGAGGTTTTTCTTCTGAGTGAAGCATTTCCCACACTTGGTGCATTTGCACGGTCCCATCCTGATGTGGATCGTCTGGTGCCTGAAGAGGTTGGCCTTCTGATTGAAGGTCTTCTCGCATTCGGGACATTTGTACGGCTCCTCCCTGGTGTGGATCCGCTGGTGCCTCACGAGGTTCGACCTCTGGGTGAAGCTTTTCCCACACTCGGTGCATTTAAAGGGCTCGCTCATGTGGATTCTCTGATGCCTGATAAGCTTCCTGTTCATCCGGAAACTCTCCCCGCACTCGTTGCACTTATAAGGCCCCTCGCTGGTGTGGATCTTCCGGTGCCTAGTAAGATTCGACTTCTGGTTGAAGTTTTTCCCACACTCGGGACACGGAAATATCCTCTCCGCTTTGGGACTGTTCTTCGTCAAGGGATTTTTCTTGCATTTTGTGTTTGCCCGGCTCTCGGTACATGCACCAGGAGTCCCCTCTTTGCTGGTTCTCTGGCGTTTTCTATGTTTTTTCTTTGGGCTGCAGCTTTCCCCATGTTCGCCATCCACCCCGGCTCCCTCTTTAATCTGGATCCTCTGGATGATGCCAAGAGATGTCTTTTGACTGAAGTTGCTTCCATGGTCTGCGCTCTCCTGTGGTTCTTCCTTGATGCGGGGTTTCTGGCGTGCCGCAAGATTGCCGATCATAGTGACATCCCTCTGATGTTCGTTGTCCACCCCAGCTTCCTTTGTAGCCTGGATTCCCCATGGAGGAAAGAGAGGCATCTTTGGATTGAATTGGTTGTCATAGTCGGGGTTGGTCTGTGGTTCTTCCTTGATGTAAGAGTTCTGGTGCGCTACTGTAATGTTGTCTCTCTCGTGTTCGGGGTATGTGTCTGGTTCCTCCTTAGTCTGGATTCCCCACGGAGCGCCAACAAGGATCTTTGGGCTGGACTGCGTTCCACAGTCAGTACCTTCCTGGGGTCCGTCCTCTGAGTGAGCTCCTGGTACTGTAACGTTCTTCCCCAAGCTAAAACTATCCTCTTGTTTGAAGGCCACGTCCGGTTCCTCTTTAATCTGGATGACCCGGAGAGGCATGCCATTTACATGGCCAGTGGCTTCCTGTAGCCTCTGCTTTGCGTGGTTCCTCTGGTGGACATTAAAATACCTCTTGGTGCTCAAGCTTTTCCCGCACTCGGTGCATATGAACGGCCCGCCGCGGAGGTGGATTTTCTGGTGAGCCACCAGCGTTGCACTCTGGCCAAAGCACCGGCTGCAGTCGGAGCACTTGAAAGGCTTATCCCGTTTGTGTATCTCCTTGTGTGCCGTCAGCGTCCCCTTCTTCACAAAGCTCTTCCCACACTCGGTGCAGGCGTACGGCCGCTTTTCCTTGTGGGTTCTCATGTGGATGCTGAAGTAGATGCGTGTGCTCAGACTCTTCCCACAGTGGACACAGATATACGGACCGCCTTTGGTGTGTGTCTTCCGGTGGGCAGCCAGGCATATCTCCAGCCGGAAGCACCGTCCGCACTCGTCGCACTGGAAGGGCCTCTCTCCGGTGTGGATGCTCTGGTGGGTGGTCAGGTGTCCCCTCGTGGTGAAGCGCCTCCCGCACTCACTGCAGGGGTAGAGCTCCTCTGCTGTGTGGATCCTCTGGTGTCTCTTCAGATTTCCCTTCTTGCTGAAGGATTTCCCGCACTCCAGGCACGTATGCGGCTTCTGGGCCACGCGCTTTGCAGGGTCTTTCATGGTGACACCCGTCAGCATGTGGATGTAATTCTTCTGTGGCTGGGTTCTCTCTGGTAGGCCGGGCAGCTGCTAGGGAGCCGGTGGAGGGGATGGGGAGAGATGGCTGGAAGGTTGGTAAGGGGTGGCTATAGAAAAGTCAATGATGCAATAGTCAAAGTGCAGCTGATGGGCCCAGGCTGCTCTGCTGACCGGGAGGAGAGGTTGACAACATGCAGCGCAGATACTGTGGTGCCGACGGTCGTGTAGCTAACTGGATGGCTCTGGTTCTTCCTTGGGTTGCATTTTCTCCTGGAGTTTTTTCTTTCAACCCAACAGCAGAGATGTTCTCTTGACATTCAGAACTCCCTTTCCCTGTTCATTGCGGTGGGGCTCCTGTTCTCATCGTATGCCTCAGTCAGTCTTCGAGGTTTAGCATGCTGGATTAAAGCAAAAAGAAAGTCCAGATATTATTCCATGTGCTACTGATAACATTGCTTGTGCTTGTGTGATGGCTGCCATCTTGACTGACACACCAGGGATTGAACCAGGAACCTCCAGAGCTAAAAGCCTGAGCCACTACAGCTTACATTAAAGAGAAAAGGCTTTGGAGGTGCAGCTGAAACAGATTCCTCTCCTCTGTGGATCAGTCACTGAGGGGGATGTGTAACACACACTCACCAGAGGATTACAGGATCTCAAGACAATTTACAAATGTTAATAAATTAAGCCTCACAATAATGATTATGACTTGCCTCATTATTCAGATAGCCTCTCTGTGCCTCCATTTTCCTAACCTTTTCAAAAGTTAGGATAAAATCAAAGTTGGCAGCATTTGCAATATTAATACTTGGCACTTTTCCTTGGCAGATCTCAAAGCACTTTGTAAAGGCAGGGCAGTATCATCACCTCCGTATTACAGATGAGGAAACAGGCACAGAAAGGTTAGGTGACTTGCCAAGGTCACACAATGTGGCAGTGGTGGAATCTAGGTGCTCTGCCCTGCCCATTGGACAAGTTCGGAATATTGAACCACAGGCCCACTTATACATAGGAAATCATTTCCTAGAATTCCAACAAGGAGGGAGGCCTGAAGGCAGAAGTGAGGAAGGTATGGTTACTGGAGGATGCTGCCACCAAGGGGACGGGAAGTTGGGGATGCTGTTGCTGAGGTTACAGGTTGCTGGGGGATGCTGTCGCCACAGGGATAGGACATTGGGGATGCTGTTGCTGAGGGGACAGGTGTTGTTGTGGAGGGGGCTAAGGGAGCAAGAAGTAGGAAAGTAACTACTGCTTTAAAGGCAGGGAAGCGGGAAAATGGGAGATTTCTAAACATCTGGATACAGCACTGAAAGTGCAGACGAGGTACACATATTGGGCTGCTGATTGGGTGGAGCAGTTTCCAATGTACAGTGCTCAGATACCAAGGGTCACAAGGGTTAACTAGCTGGATAAACAGACAGAAAATGCAGAAGAGAACTATTTTTCATTCAGTTACATGGATGGCAATTCCGCCTTCAGGTAAACCAGCTCAGCTCCCGCTGAAATTAATGAGATTCATAGAACCATAGAACTGGAAGGGACCTCGAGAGGTCATCTAGTCCAGTCCCCTGCACTCGTGGCAGGACTAAGTATTATCTAGACCACTCCTACCAGGTGTTGGTCTAACCTGCTCTTAAAAATCTCCAATGATGGAGATTCCACAGCCTCCCTAGGCAATTTATTCCAGTGCTTAACCACCCGGACAGTTAGGAAGTTTTTCCTAATGTCCAACCTAAACCTCCCTTTCTGCAATTTAAGCCCATTACTTTTTGTCCTATCCTCAGAGGTTAAGAAAAACAATTTTTCTTCCTCCTCCTTTTAACAACCTTTTACATATTTGAAAACTATTATCATGTTCCCACTCAGTCTTCTCTTTTCCAGACTAAACAAACCCAATTTTTTCAATCTTCCCTCATAGGTCATGTTTTCTAGACCTTTAATCATTTTTGTCGCCCTTCTCTGGACTCTCTCCAATTTATCCACATCCTTCCTGAAATGTGGTGCCCAGAACCGGACACAATACTCCAGTTGAGGCCTAATCAGCGTGGAGTAGAGCGGAAGAATTACTTCTCATGCATTTGCAGGAGTGTTGTAAACAAGACATCCTAGAAGGATGTTCACGTTTTTTTTTGCAAGTGTTACACTGTTGACTCATATTTAGCTTGTGATCCACTATGACCCCAGATCCCTTTCCATAGTACTCCTTCCTAGGCAGTCATTTCCCATTTTGTATGTGTGCAACTGATTGTTCCTTCCTAAGTGGAGTGCTTTGCATTTGTGCTTATTGAATTTCATCCTGTTTACTTCAGACCATTTCTCCAGTTTGTCCAGATCATTTTGAATTTTAATCCTATCCTCCAAAGCACTTGCAACCCCTCCCAGCTTGGTATCGACCACAAACTTTATAAGCGTACTCTCTATGCCGTTATCTAAATCACTGATGAAGATACTGAACAGAACATCATTTGTCCCTGCATTAGTAGCACTGCTGTATGAACTGAATTGAATATGGTATTACATAGGACAATAATAGAAACAATGACCTGGAAAGCTTTAATTAAAAAAACAAACAGAAAACACCCTCTTCCAAGCAGAACCCTGGTTTGATTCTGGTGTGTGTACTTAAAGATCTGTTTCTATCTGGGCCAGCAACGGAGGTGACTTGATCATAGCCCAGAATTCCCTCCTGAGGGTATTTCAGTCTAGCAGACAAAGGCATAAGATCCCGTGGCTGGAAATTGTGTCAGTAAAGTTCAACAGCATATTTTGACCAGTATGGGTAATTAACATGGGAAGGGATTAGCAGGGGTAATCTCTCCATCTCTGGAATCTTTAACTGAAGACTGGATGTCTTGTTAAGAGATATGCACAACCCACCCATTACTGGACTCCATACAGGGATCAGTAGGTGCAATTCTCCGGCCTGTGTTATGCAGGAGGCCAGACTAGACGATCACGATGGTCCCTTTCTTTGGAAACATTTGAGCTGCCTTTTAGTTTTGGCAAATGCCAGGCAGCTCCCTTCTTACTAAATTTGGACCAGATCAAAATAACAAATCCCCACTGATCTTTTCTAGTATCCAGATCACAGAGGGCCAGACTCTGCCCTCAGTTACAACTCTGCCGCCCCACCGATTTGGGGTTGAATTGAGGGCAGAATTTGATCCCTCCCCCGGGGGGGAGGCGGGGAGCGTCCTCCTTTGGGCTAGGATGTGAAATACCCGCACGAGCCGTTTGCTGAAAGGGTCTTACCTGAGCAGTCCATCCCTGCAGGCATTTTCCTCCCCGGGAGCCCGTGTGACAACATGGTTTGTGACTTGGCTGCAACTTGTGTTGCAATCGCAGCTGCTGCTGACCGAGAGGAAGTCTGCGCCCGGTGCGGTGAGAGCTACCGGAGGAAGGGTGAAACGAAACAAAGACCAGCAGCCAAGGGTGAGCGCAGCGCCGGGGGAGAGGCTGGACTCTGCAGCCGGACAGGCCCCGCGCTGGGTTTCCGCGCGGCTGCGATCCCGGGCACGGGCGGGCGGCGCGAGCGGGGTGGAAGGGGGGGGGGGCGGGGGAATCTCACCCCCCCCCGCGTCCTTTCTTCTGCACCGTTAGCTTTGCGGGGACTCGGGCTCGCTTGGAATGTTCCCAGGCTCGCAGAGCCTTCTGGGAATTGTAGTTTCTCCCAGAAATCCCCCTGGCCCTGGCACGACGCCCCTGGGCTGCACGGGGAGAGGAGCAGGCCCCTGGAGCTAGTCCGTCCCAAGGTGTTCGCCTTCCTCGCACCATGCTGCAGACATGCCGCTGTCATCCAGTGCTCAGTGTCCCCCCAGGACTTGAAGGGGCCATGGCCTGAGGGATTCAATAGCTTCTGATCCACAGCATGCGAGCTGTGCACCGCAATAGCAGCTCACTGTATGCCTACAGGGGGAGTACCAAGATATTGGTGTGTAAATATTGGGGACCCTGTCAGCACCTTCCACTGACCAGATTAGCTAGATAAAGAATGATTTTACAGACAAGGACACTGAGGCACGGAACTTGTGGGGGATGGATTCTGCAAGGTGTTACTGGACAGGAGCAATTGGGGTAAAAAACCTCACTGGCTGCAAGGCTGAACTGAGCTTGGTAAGTTTATGGAGAGGATAGTATGATGGGACTGGCTAAAATGGCATGTAGCCGATCCGCGACTGCTAGCAGCAAATATCTCCAACGGCCGATGATGGGACACTAGATGGGGAGGGCTCTGAGTTACTACAGAGAATTCTTTCCCAGGTGTCTGGCTGCTGGGTCTTGCCCACATGCTCAGGGTCTAACTGATCCCCATATTTGGGGTCAGGAAGGAATTTTCACCCAGGTCACATTGGCAGAGACCCTGAGGTTTTTTCACCTTCCTCTGCAGCATGGGGCACGGGTCACTTACAAGTTTAAATTAGTATAAATGGTGAATTCTCTGTCACTTGAAATCTTTAAACCATGATTTGAGGACTTCAGTAACTCAGCCAGAGGTTCTGGGTCTATTGCAGGAGTTGGTGGGTGAGGTTCTGTGGCCTGCCATGTGCAGGAGGTCAGACTAGATGATCTTGATGGTCCCTTCTGACTTTAAAGTCTATGAGAGATGCCGACCATGAGAGCTGAGGTCAATCACCACTGCTCGGAACTCCGCATCACTTCCTGGAGCAGGCCCTCAAGGATCAGATGAACCCAAGCACACAGGAACTCCGCTGTAAGCCATTTTGTGCTATGTGCTTTATTACCCAATGCATGGGAAAGGCTAAATCAGTGTGACTATTCCCTGTGACTATGTCGTCTTTACTCAATGGAACTGGTAATGTTCACAAAGCGATGTCCCCAGCAGCAGGTACTCAGACATAGCGTGTGGCCGTTTAATCCATCAGTCAGGAACATTGACGCTCTCAGCTCAAAACCAGGTCTCGAATGCTATTGATTCATTCATCAATTTAATAATCGGAAGAAAATAGGAGGAGATAATTGGAGTTTGCTAAAATCTCACTGGCCTTGAACTACTGAATCTCTTAAACACGGCTTTCCCACTTGGATTAACAATCATTTTGGAAGGCAGATAACCAAGTAAACAAAAATCAAACAAACTAACAAAAGTACTTATTATTGACACCATATATGTAAATACATTCAGGATATGGACACACATATGGAGACAAACACACATGTCACTTTTGGTCAGAATAACCACACTTAGGACCTCATCAACCACGATCTCAAAGCACTTTACAAATATAGCAAGCATTATTCTCCCCATCTTCTAGATGGGGAAACTGAGGCACAGAGAAATTAAGTGACTTGTCCAAGATCATCCAGCAGAATGGGAATAGATTATAGGTCTCCTGAATCTCAGGCCTGGCCTATACACAGGGTTGTTTTTTTTTTTTTTAAACTAATCTGGGATACAAGATCCAGAGGCAGGATGTTGAAGCTAGAAAATTCAGACTAGAAATATGGTGTAATTTTTTTAACAGTGAGGGTAATTAACTGTTGGAACAATTTATCAAGGGCCGTGGTGGATTCTCCATCACTGGCAATTTTTAAATGAAGATTGGATTTTTTTTTTCTGAAAGATCTGCTCTTATTCCAAGAGGAATTGATTCAGGGAAGTCCTATGGCCTGTGCAATCCAGGAGGTCAGACTTGATGATCACAGTGGTCCCTTCTGGCCTTAGACTCTATGTATCTATGAGCTATTTTGATTAGGGATGCGATTATTACTGATACAATTATATCAGTACAATCCCTAGTGTGGACGCAGTTGTACTAGTATAAAAGTGCTTTATATATGTATAGCTTATTCCCCTCCTTGAACAGTATAAACACCTTTATAGCAGTACAACTGCATCCACAGGACAAAGGAGGCTGTGTGGTCTACTGGGTAGATCATTAGCCTGAGAGTCAGGAAACCTCGGGTCTCTTCTCCCCCCACCTCCCTTTGTGCCTCTGTTTCTCCTCCTGTCCTTTGTCTGTCTCTCCTCTTTAGATTGTGAGTTCTACAGGGCATGTGCAGGCTTTCACTGTGCATTTTGAACAGCACTGTGTACAGCAGGGGCCCCAACTCAGTTGCCACCTCTTGGTACTACCCTATTATTACGGCTGCTACTAATGGGCAACTCTGCCTAATAGTGCGATGTAGCTAGGTCAGTGATGAATGTGCCATTTTCTTAAAGGAGCAGACTAAAGGTTCTTTAATAAAAAATAAATGCACACGGCCATCCTATTTCTGGTACTTGCATTTTTCTTGATAGGTGAATAGAAATTACTTATTGCCTGGGCTCACCCCAGCGTAGAATCATAGAATATCAGGGTTGGAAGGGACCTCAGGAGGCCATCTAGTCCAACCCCCCCTGCTCAAAGCAGGACCAATCCCCAACTAAATCATTCCAGCCTGGGCTTTGTCAAGCCTGACCTTAAAAACCTCTGAGGAAGGAGAATCCACCACCTCCCTAGGTAACCCATTCCAGTGCTTCACCACCCTCCTAGTGAAAAAGTTTTTCCTAATATCCAACCCCCACTGCAACTTGAGACCATTACTCCTGTCGATCAGCTTTTCTGTTTGCAGTTACAGAAAGAGAAAGCAATTGCTGTAGCTCACGAAAGCTCATGCTCAAATAAATTGGTTAGTCTCTAAGGTGCCACAAGTACTCCTTTTCTTTTTGCGAATACAGACTAACACGGCTGTTACTCTGAAACCTGTCAATTGCAGGCTGTGTTTTACCCTCTGCACGCTATGCCTGGGTCCACTGGGAGCTAGGACATGTCTACCAGCAGTACCCCTTACTATGCCCATACATTTGAGGATGGCGTTTCCACCTGCAGACTGACCATGCTGCACTGAAGTGGTTTCACACAGTCAAAGAGACTACAAAAAACTTCTTTGGCGGAGTTTAGCTCTTCAAGATTCCCCACTCTGGCACTTTGAGTGCAGAAGGTGGGGGCCCGCAAGGATTCTAAAAATTAATACTGGCCACTCCAGGCTTGTATTAAACTCCCAAGGTTACAGCTTTTCTCAGACCTTGGATGAGTAGATGCTGCCGCCACCCAAGTGCAAAACCCCTTTGAGAACCCAGGAAGGCGCACTTGGGAATTCCCTCCTGTGGGGTACCCTCAAGCCCTTTCACCCCCCCCTCCGCCCCGGGAAGAGCTGAGAAAGAAAAACAAAGGAAATCAGCTGTTGCCATCAGCTAGTTAAACAACATGGGTACAAACCTCTTAGGACACAAAAATCCAATCCTGTTCTTAAAAAAGGTAAATTTTATTAAAAACAAAAAGAAAGAAAATACGTCTGGAAACTCAGGCTATTGCTAGATTTAAAAAAACCCAAACACTTACAAGGATTAAGCATCAAGAATAACTTTCTTGAGGTCTAGCTTAAAGGTTACAAGCAAACCAAAAGCATTTGGGGTTAGCACAGAGGATTCCACAAGCCATAAAGAAATAAAAAGGGATAAACCTAATTGCGTCTTCCTAGACGTTTCATGATCTACTTACATATCTGGGGTTTCCAATGAGCAGTTTCTAGGTACGATACCGATGATTTTTCATACCTGGCCCAAAGCTTCTTACAGCATTGCTGCTCCCTGTCTGCCTCTCCCTGAGAACAACCACAGACAGACAAAAGGGGAGTCTTGTTTCAATTTTAAAAAGTTCTAGCCTTCCCATTGGCTTTTTTGGTCATCTGCCCACTCACTTCCTTTTACCTGTGCATCACAGTGAGACTTTTAACCCTTTACAGGTAAAGCAAGTAGAGAACAACTACTAAGAGGGATTTTATAGATAACTGGCTGGCGGGGTCCATAAAAGGGAGCTACTCCCCTACACCTTGGAAAGCTGATCATGTTTTAGCTGCTCACAAATACTTTGGAAAAGTAGGTAGGGTCAGTTTAACTCTTGGCTTGCCGTCCGGAGGCGGCTTGGTGGGCTGCGCAAAATGAGTTTGGTGCTTTCGGTCCAGTTGTCAGTGGACAGGTAACAACGTACTATATTGCAATCAACATTAGGTTGGCATTCTTGACGCTGGCTGTGGATTGATGAGACAAGGAGACTGAGCTATGCTAGAGGTGGTCCCTACAGGTCAGGTTTGAGACCGTCGGAGAGGCCATGTGTGGCTGCTTGTACTACGGTGTATTTGTTGTGTAGCCAGATAAGGCACATCCGTTTCTAGGGCTGTCAGAGGAGGACTTGTTCTAACACTTACGGAATAAAACAACCGAGGAAGCCTCCAGCTGGGGAGACAGGAAGAGACATCGCTGATCGTTTCCCTTCTGGCCTCTATCGCCCTAATTTATTCATCAACTTGACTTTCAAATGAAGCCAGTCAGTACTCCTGAGATAATGAGGATATGGCCTTACACTAAACTGCTCGGCTTCCATTG